GCCCTCTCTGAATGTCTGTGGTGCAAGTGCACAAATGTTGAGGCACCGTTTTACCAGAAAGATATTGATATGTTGGAGGAAGTTCAGAGAGGGGAAACAAAAATCAACAGGTAGCTGTAGAGTTTGACCTCTGAGGAAAGATTAAAAGAACTGCATAAGTATAGCTTGGCTAAGTGATGACTAAGAGTCAACAGTTTAAATATAGAAAGTGTACCAAGGAGGGAAAGGAATTATTTTGTGTAGCATAAGTAGGAATAATGCATAAGTAGGAATAATGGTATGAAATTTAAATAAAGAAAAAAGCTATGATAAAGCCATAAGTTGAATGAAAAGCTTCCTGACTCTGAGATCTATTAGGTTGGGAATAGTTTTCCAGAGGATGTGGTGAAAAGCCAGTTGCTTAGGGTTTTTAAAACGACTGGGAAAGACACTAAAAACTGTACTCAAAGGAACAATCCTACACTTGCCTGGAGAGGGACTGAATGATATAACAAGTCTATCTATCTGTAACGTCTATTGTGCTGCTCCCTAAAGTACTATTTTATCCCCTGCTGCAGAAACCAGCCCTAATACTAGTTTTATTAGGGTCCAAAGTCTGTTGAAATCCATACTTCATGGATTATTAAAACATAACTTGTGTTCTTCTCCTCCCCCCCCCCCATTTTTATGAAGCAGGAGATTATTTGTCCACTGTATAAGCAATGTGAGTTCTATTGTGTATCCTTTACTACCTCCAAAGTTCAGTGGTGTATGCTTGAAAGCTCCCACATCCTCCATCTTAAATTCTGTCTTGAGTCCAGAATTCAAGGATGTACCCTGCTGCCCAAATTCTGTCCAGATGTTCCACCTTCTGAACACTTATTCTTGCAGCTTTGCCACGTAAATAGTCCCTTCTGATAATTCTTGATGTCTGATAGGGCAGAAAGAAGCTGTTCCTCTGAATGATTTGAATTCCTCCATTTGTGGTATTGCAGATGGAGGCAACTTATCCCTTTGAAATTGCTTTTTTAAGAATTTCTCTATGTAACTCCTCTCTCCTGCCACCGATCTCAGCTAAAGACAAGCATTTCAAAAAGCTGTCTACTTTCCAAGGCCTACACACAGATGTCATACAGGATGCCATTGCCCTAATTAGAGTTCTTCCATTGGTATACCACCCATAAATGCACCTGCTAAAGAAGATTTGTTAATGACTGGTTTGAATTCCCCAACCTTATTCAGAAAATTTATCTGAATATTGTCACATTCTTCTAGCATAGCAAAATATATTTAAGATACTGTTGATTGTCAAGTTAGAGAAGATTCTACCTTGTTTATTTTTAAATTAAGCTCACCCTTTTTCTGTTTGCTTTTGTTTTTTAAGTCTTCTTGATTTAGTAAGAAGAACCCAGTTTCCTTTACTACCCTCTTGTTCATTGTATCTATCTAGTCTAGAGCAATAGACTGGTACACATGTATGTATATAATAGACTGAACCAGCTGCCTCTGGTTTAGAATTTTTGCCCTTTCTTTGAGAAAAAAAGTTGCACAGAGTGTTCTGAAGCAGGAATTTTTTCTTTCTGGCTTCTTTTTATCTTCTGTGTATTTCTTTGATTTATTATTACTGGTTTTTTTAACAACACAAAATGAACTCTGATTTTTGCTCATGAACTAATCTTTTCAACTTCCCAGCTCACAGATATGGTTTTCATTAAATCACTATGACTATGTTCAGTGTATTATATTTCAGTTAATGACTATCCATGATTAGGTGACAACTGTGTGTTCCGGCATAACTGCTTAGTTTTAGGTTTAAATAAAGCCTGATAAAATAGTCAATTGAAATGGCACAGAAATTAAAATACCTGTTTCCCTCACAAATGAAAAAGTAATCTGATTCAGAACCTCCAATGGAATTGCAGTATGGTAGAGTACTGCCTTGGTATTAGTACAGCGCAAGATAAAATTTGCTCTTGGCTCTGGTTTGTAAGGTTTCAGAATTGCCACTCACCATATGCTTCTCTGCTGGAGCATTAGTTAATTAACATTAGTCACACTTTGCAGTTCCATGTTGCCTTTCATTGAGAACTCAGCTGAGAGGTAGTTATTAACTTTAGTTTACATATAGGGAAACTGAAGTAACTAGCTTGAGGAACCCAAACATAGACGTGGCAGAGCCAGAAATAAAAGCCAGAAGTCATGATTCCTAATCATGTGCTTTTACCACTAGGAAACACTCCTTTCCTATGTTCCTATGCTTGAAAAGCTGGAATTTTGCCTGTTTGTTTATTTGCTGATTCAGTCTGTTCCTGGAATACAAAGGGGGAAAATAACCTTTCTGAAGCTCCTGTTCTGAATCCAAAATTTCTAAATTGCTAGCTGTGCTAAGTGGAGCTTAGCAAATAGCAGACAGAATTTGCTCTCAGGAGTGGGCATCATAATTGCAAATTTATTTCAATTTTAACAACTTTTCAGTTGCTTTTGGCTTTTTTTCATTTCTCTACCTTTATAATAAGCATGGTGTGGTGGGAACACCAGCTGTTAAGTGTGCTTCCCAAATAATAATAATTCCCTTTCCTCCCCAAATCATACACTTTCAGTGCTCTCATTTCAGGATTTACATTAATTGTGCAAGCAGGAAACAAACAACTGCTGTCTCTTATGGAGGCAAAACCTATGGTAGGGCCTTAACTATGACAGCCCTGCATTGACAGGTGTGGACCACATCTCTGTTGCAAACTGGTGGATTTTATGATGAGTGAGAATATTATCTTCCTCTTTGTGTCCAAGCTCTAAGCCCAAGGTAAAAAGATACTATTTGTTAGAACTTCTCTCCTCTGTGTGCCTCTTTTTCTGCTGGGTGAACAATGGTAGAAATTTCTAGCCGCAGCTGACACAAACTGTCCATCAAAGATTTAAATTTCGACAAAGCATTTGGCTCCCCAGAGGTGCTTCTTCCTGGCCCTGTCATAGTAAAAACAGCAGTGACACAAAAAATGCTGAAGAAGCGTGGTAGTTTGTGAAGTGGAAATTGAAGTTTTCCCATTTGGGACATGTCTACCTCTCATTCTGTGCTCAGGAAATGAGAAGACAGTGGTAGAAGCAAACTAGAATGGTTACTCAGCCTCAGTACAGTTCGTTCTCTAGGCGAACTGAAAAACTACCCAAATTCACTATCCTTCATCCAGGAGGCTCAGCATGGAAAACAAGCCAGAAAGCTACCAATCCGTTATGATTTACATTCGGCATGAGAGATCAGCCAGGGAGAAAGGAAAACTTTGTGAACCCTGAATAGAAATACCATATTTAAGTATTCATTTTGAAGTAGCTAGAACTGGGAGATCTATCCACTTGCCTTTCATGAAGTTCCTGTTCAGCTTGTATTTCATGGTTACATTTTAAATGTTACAAATTCCACCCACCAGAGTGTATTCAGAGTACTAGCTGCATTTTTCTCTCTTCAGTGGTCTTTTTCGGTTTCCTTGTGTTTGACATGGAAAAGGAGCCCTGCTGCTTCCAACTTGCACTTTGTGCATGTTGCCTAGGGGAGGTGCAACTTCACTTTAGAACACTGGAAAAGAAAATTGTGTGGAAATATTGCAGTGACAAGGTAGTTTCTGATTAAGCAAAGTGAACTCCTGTTAGGGTGGCTTCAATGTGTTTGCCTTGTTCTAGTACCCGCAGCAAAGCTATTGCATTGCAATGGAGTATTCAGTCCTCTTTGCCGTGGTTGTTGCAACTGTTTGAAACAGCCTAAGTGGCACCTGGCCAGTGTGCAAAGATTAAGCTGCGTCTTAGGATGTTATAGTGAGCTAGCGCCCTTACTGGAGTCTACAGGTGAGGCTCACCATCACCACTCCTGCATCCTCCCACTTCATTCTAAATGACAAACCTACGAACAAATGATGTGTGTCAATGTAACTGCATGAATAAGGTTTAGAGTGAGGTACAATATGAAGAGTGTATAAATAAGGTTTAGGTAAATACTTACAACCAGTTGTTTAGATACCCACAAATGTTTACTCCCTCAAACAGACGATAGAAAACAAAATAAAACTGTATACAGACACCCCAACTATAGGGGGAAAAGTTCTCATTTAAAAGTGCTTTAATTTAATGCTGATCCTGTGCTTACAATCCAAAGCTTCCCTTCTCTTACTGAAAAGCAGGAGAATACATTTTAAAAGGGGTTGTCTATCCCTGCATCTCTGTCATTCTGTCTGGCAGTTACACACTGTATACAACCATAAGAAAACACCACAGTCTGCATGGGATCATCCGTTAAGTAACCTCCTTCCCAGAGTTACCCTGCAAATCCAGTAGCTCCCGCATTTGAAGCCATTTGAATTTTGGCGGCCCAGAACTAAGGGCTACAACATTCCAAGCTAAAGTTTGTGAGCTTGGACGGGCGAAGCTATGGTGGTGATCTGCTTGCTACTGCACAAAATTTTCTAAGTCAACAAACATTTTCTGAAAGACATCTCTCTAAACCTAAAGGCAACTGTATTTACTTTGTAACTAACAAATATTTACTTGAACTCACAGATTTATTAAATATGTGAATCCATATACTAGTTACCACAAATTTAATAGGGTACAGGATCATCTTTAGCTCAAATATTCTCCTTCAAGCCCATGAATAATCAACTGAACTAAGACATGTGTGATGCCAACAGGTATTCCTACATTGTGGCACTTCATACGCAGGAAGCCGGGCGCAATATATATTGCCTGGAGTGCAGAGGACAGGCTGTCATCACTACTCTGCGAAAAGGACACCCTTTTCACACTACAGCTCAGCTCATTACTATCCCAGATGTCAGTTTCCACTGCAGCAGGCTTAGTTAGAATCCCTTAGATCAGCTCTCATAAACCCACATTGTAAAATGCACAGTGGATGAATGTACTAACATGGAAGAATACACACCTAGCCACTGTATGTACACACAAACGCATGGGCTAAAGTTACCATAAATATAAATCAAGACATAAATGACCAAGAAACAAATAAGATTACCTACTTTCACAGGAGCGTATGACTTGCAATCAGTCTTCTTATTTTAAAGCAAAAACAAAGCGGATGAAATATTACAATTTCATGCCCAGTGAATGGCTTCTGTGCATGTGTGCCTGTATTTTCAGCTGTGACGAGATCCGTTTACTGGCAGTAACCAGGAGGCTGATATGACCATGAAATGAGGAAACACAGTGACTGAAAAATAAAGTACTAGCACCACCATTCGCCTAGGGATGGGAAAACTATCTTAAACCGTAAAGGCCCCTTTGGATCATGTCTCTACACTGTAAGCATGATTTTAACTTACTTACCATTGCTGTTATTGGAGATGTTTGATGAAGATACATTGTCAGCATTATTAATTCGCCAGGAAAATCTGAATGGAGTCCAGATGGTTTTCTTTCCCTATGCTATAAATCTTGGAGACGTTTTAAACCGTTTTGAGCTGGGTTTCTTAGAAATATATTAGTTGGACAAAAAAATAATAAAATATGTGGGGGTAAGCATACGTTGGAAAAGAAACATATGCAGAACGCTGGCAAATATGTGCGGAAACGGAACAGGAGACTCACGTGCCCCATTAAGGAACAGGTTTTTTATTGTCATTGCCCTCCGCCCTTTTACCACTAAGTAGTTGGGTACTTGTCTGAAGTGGCCCTGGAAGGGATTAGTTCCCCACCGACTCTTAAGCCCTTCCCCTCTGTCACATGATCTTTCCATTTCTGCCTGGTGTTTCCTGGAGCAATTTAAGTTTGCCTCGGTCTCTGAGGTAGAAAATGAGCTAAAAATATAGCTAAGCAATTTAAAGGGACACTCTCCACTTAAAAATCATATTTGTTAAAAACCAAATTTGATATCCGTGTTACAAACTGCGACTTAAGACTTTCAGCATTGAAACAGTTTTTTAAAATCTAACTTCTGGCCATCTATGCTGTTTGCTAACTTACTGCATTTCACTCAGCTTGGGGAATGAAAAACAACAAACCAGTCACTTTAATATTTGTTTATAGCCAATTTCAAATGAACTTCGCTTTCTGGTTCTCATGAAATCCAACAGTACTGCAACTGTTAGGCTGAAAAAACTGCAGAGGAATGTTTAAATGCATAAAACCCTCTAACTATTTTTTTTAAATACATTAAAGCATTTCTATTGAGCTTATGTCTTGTTCAGCCTTTTTGTTACCAAAACCTCGTATGGGGACCTAAATTACCTAACAAAATCTATTTTATAGTGTTATTAAAAATTACTTTGTAATTTCCTTACCAGGCCCTGTCCTCCCTGCAAAAAAAACATAATATAGAGGTGTTGAAAACATTCGTTACTTTCAACAGATTTTGGTTTTGGAAGGAGACGGCTGAGCTAGGTTCTATGTTGATGGCCACATAAGAAAAACATAAACAGATAATATACAGTAGATATAGAAATGATGAAAAAGAAGAAAAGGAGGGTCCACATTTTTATAAAGACAAGCACTTTGGGCTGCGTAGCCTTTTCCAGCTCCTAACATTTCTAACCTTTTAGCCAACGTTTACAGTTTCATAGACTCAGAAGTGTTAGAAATGGCACAGAATGCCATTGGCTCATCTAATCTCTCTCTCTACTACTGTCAGACTGCTGCCTCTTGTATATTTACTAGTGTTTTTTTCCAGTGCCATTTTAAAAGTTCCTAAAAAACAGAATTTCCACTATTTGTTTTGGGAGATTGTTCCACATTCTAACAGACCTCAATGTCCAGAATTTTGTCCTGATAGTCAGCCTACATTTTCTATTTTTCATCCTATCCTATTACACCTCTACCCCGATATAATGCTGTCCTTGGGAGCCAAAAAACCTTAGGTGAAACCACGTTATATCAAACTTGCTTTGATCCGCCGGAGTGCCCAGCCCCCCCAGAGCACTGTTTTACCGCGTTATATTTGAATTCGTGTTATATCAGGTCACGTTATATCGGGGTAGAGGTGTACTTCTAGTTCTGTGCACTAAACATTGTTTCTCCCTCCTTGGGATTTGTGGCTTTCAGAATACACTCAGACCACATTCTTCAGATATTTACACAAATTAACGTCCTCGCAGACTCTACGCTAACTCAACTATGCATGTGTGAAATCGTAAACTTTCCCCAATCTCTCTAGTCCCTTCATTATTTTTATCAGCATTTCTCTGCCCAAAACTCAGTGCAATACATTTCAGGTGTAGCCCCACTACAAATGTCTAGAAAGAATTTATTCCCCCCCACTCAGTGCTGTGATGCCTTTGTCCATGCAGCACACATGTGAATTGACCTTTTTGGTACCATAATGCATTTTTTGCTCGAGTTTCTTTTTTAAATTTCATTAGGCCCCACTGAATCACTTTCCAAATACTACTTCTTTCCCACCTTGTAGAAGAAAACTAGTTCTAATAGCCTGTTATGACTCCATCTACCAAGAAAGGGACAAGGGACAAAGAGAGCTACGAGCCAGAATAAAATACACAGGACCCCTCTTAAAATATTCTTCATGCCTCAGTCCTCTCATCTCCTTGTTCCATCACCAATCCAGACAGGGATATGAGGATAGAGGAGAACTGAATGGTGAAGTATATTGAAGCAAAGGAAGGCAACGGCTTAAATTCTCTGCTCAGAGATGGGGAAGACCTGAGAGTCAGGGGTCTGCCTTCCCTCTAAGAATCTGGCTTCTGGCTCTGTCCTGAATCAATCCTCCTTAGCACAGGGAGAAACATACTCCTGCAATGTTGACTTGAAAGGCAGCAGCCCTGTTTCCCTTAGAGTGAGTAAATAATCCCTGGAATGGCAGGAGGAGCAGAGATGCAGCTCTGAGGCTGGGACAGATCTGGGGCTGGCAGACAGAATTAATTAATTAATCTACATCTGGAGTGTCAGATGTAGAGCTGGGGTGTGCATAATTAATTAATGATAATTTTGAGGTTTGGGGTCCACACCCTCAAGCAGCCAGCAAGAGCTCTTGTGGCAGGGGTCAGATCACCTGACTCTATAAATTTGGCAAACACACACACACACACACACACACACACACACACAGTGGGTGTGTGGGCAGGGAGAGTTCAAAAATCCAAAGACAGCCCAAAAACCATGGTGTAATATTTAAAATAAAACAGTTCCCTGATTTTGGGGCATCTGATCCATGATTTTTGAACTTCTGAGCCTGGCAATACTGGTGTAGGTGGATAGAAACATTAATGTCCCTAAGGTCACCACCTACGATAATTTAGTTTTGTCTGAAACATAACTGGGGGCATAGCACTCAAGTCTCTCTACCCTAGTGCTGGAGTCCCAGGGTTCATAGGGCACAGCAAGAGCTGCCCACATTAAGGGAAAGAGAAGCCAACATGAACATCCTTCCTTTTGCTGGCTTGGACTTTTAGAGAGAAGGTGGAGATAAGGAAAGAGAGGGCCGGGTTATATTAACTCCTGACTCATCCTGCAGGAAGGCAGCGAGGGAGCAGAGATAAAAAACAGGTGGTGACTAAACAAGAGACTTCCAGTGTTGCCAAAGTGGTGCCTTTCAAAGCACTTTAAAGAGAAAAATCTATTTTTCTGCAGTGGATGCCAGCTCCAGGCACATTATTCTTCTAGCACCACAGAAAAATATTAGTACACATTAAACATAAAAAGGAAAATGCTGTCAGTTTATACCAGCTTGTGTTCCTTTGGCTGACACCCTAGAAACAGTTAAATCTTTTCCTAAAATAATCCTGACAATTGCTGGGGATGCTGCTGCACAAACAAGAACATAAACAAAAAATCCATACTCATTTCCAGCTTCATAAGTAGCACAGTTAGAAATCGAAACAAACAAAAAAAGTTAAATTTACCAAGTGAAAAAGAATCTCCATTGTTAAGTTTCTATAACCAGTACTGTGTCTGTAATTGTACAATTAGTAATTATTTACAGTAGTTGTTTTTATTTACAGTAATCACTTAAAACAAGATTATATGGTATCACTGAGTTTCTTTGGACTCTACTTTTTCCATCATATCACTCTAGATTTCTTTAGGCTAATATTTCTTTAGTCTATTTCTATAGACTCTCCTGAGTTTCTTTAGTCTATTCTACTGTTGATGCACACATGTAATTCCCATTACAGGGGGTAATGTGTATTGACCAGCGGCAGAATAAGCCTCTGAGTTTTATAACCTTACAGAAAACAGAGGTTTTGCGGGGAGAGTGGTAGTTTGCTTTTGTTTTAAGGGGAGAATACTCAGTTCCAGTTCCTACTCTCTGCGTAACTTCCATTTATTATAAAAGAATTTACGTGCACATACCAAGAGGAAACTAAATGACCCTACATGTGCTTCACAGACCATAACATCATTTCAAGGTATTTCAGATAAATGATGTGTGTTTTTGTTACCTTGGATGAAATATTTGTAAAGGGAATATGAATATTAAAAGGAAAATCCAATAATAAAGGATTAATATATGTAGTAACATCTTCGGCTTGATGTTCGCACTGACTTTACTTGGAGTTGAGGGTGCTCAGCTATTTGCATCATGGAAGATATTTGTTCACTGCTATGAGATGTGCAATAACAGCCACATAGAAAACAAAAGGTGGTGATGTAAACAGTTACCTAACTTCACATAGATAAATAGACAATTATCTGTATAGTGAGATCATCCAAAGTTACAGTAGGTAGTGTACATTATTATTGTTATTCATTTTAGAAGGGATATAAACTCTCATGCTTCAGGGTACAAGCCAACCACTAACTGATGGGGATTAGAAAGAAATCCCCATGTAGGCAGGTTAATCCATAGTTGTCAACTACAGTTTTTTGTACCTTCCCTCTGAAGTATTCTACATTGTCCACTGCCTGATATAGGATATTGAACTTCAGGCAGTGCTGGTCTGACCCAGTATGGCAAATCCCATGTTCTTATATTCTTATGTTAATAGAAGACTAGACAAATTAGCTGACCGATGTGAGATTCTCAGAAAAACAAGAGAATAGAAGCAAAAGCAAACTGCTGACATATTTCTCATGCATTATACTGAGGTCAAAATTTTGCCAGCACATGTGCAACTCCCACTGACCTTATCAGGGCTTTTGAATGTGTATACAAGGGCAGAATTTGACCTGATT